AAACAACACCAAAGTCCCTATTATCAGGTATAGCAATGGAAACAGCAGAAATATTTGTCAGATCAGACATAAATACTTATTAACTATAAGTTCATCCATTTCAATTACTGATAACGTATTTGCATTGCAAGAATGTACCGACTCCTTGTTTCTAGTGGTCTAAAGCGACTGTGTAGGTAGAACACGGTTCCATGGCATTTACGTGCCTGCATTGCATCTTTGATTTCAGCCTAATGAGGGCATTTGCTTAAGGTAATAAGCGGCAAGTTTTTTTGGTGCTCAAACATGCCCTTGTTCAGCCCAACTAAGAGGCGCGGTCTTACATTTGGCCTTTAAATACCGTGTTTTCGTTCGCCGTCTTGCTTAAGTGATTCAAGATTCCTCTGGGCCATTATGAGCAAAACGCTGGGCGTTTCCACAATGTAAGTGCAGTGTCAGTAAATGAAATGCAACAATCACTTGCAGAAATACAAAGCTGTCATCCGTGATGGCTGTTCCGGAACCTCTTGGTTATATTGTACCTTATTTTGTTGATATATTCTTCCATCTCTCCAATTTTGTAGTCCAGTATTTCCTTATTGTACAGCTAGAAAATATGCCCTTTTCGGTAAGAAGGGCAGTCACCTCGGATTGAAGTCCTAAGGGAGTAAATATACAGTGTTGTCATATTCAAACATTTGATCTTAGGTCTGTCATGTGGCTCCTGTGAAAAATTACGGCAATGAAAAATATGTCTAAGCGTTATTTACGACTGTTAGTTGCTCAGTCGATAAAGAAGCTGACTCAGAGTCTTGAGTCCGGGTCAGATCAATCGCCCTTCTGAGGTGAATAAATGAGTTCCACTCTGTGAGACGGAAACAGGAAACTACACCTATGCTTATCAAATAGCCGCCTTTAAAAGAATGCACTCCTGGTTAATGATATGGAATGGAAATCAGCGCCCCTCCAACCACTTCATAAAAACAAGCCCACAAATGGCCCCATCACTGAAGTGTAATGATAATCGGCATTCCAACGCTTACAAAGTTTTCGTTTCTTCTATTGAAACACTTGAATGATGGATCATGCGTTTTTTAATCGGCTGTCATCTTACGTTTCCTCATTTGCATAATCCTAATCTAATTTCTCGTCCGCATGACTCCTTCAACACTAAGCCAATTTGGAATTCAAAATGGTGTTAACGTTTCAACATAAATACGACAAAAAATTTTTTTGTAATGCAGTTTTCATAATCTTCACAATCAGTACTTACCTGTCTTAAAAGGCTTTATTTTCAGAACGCATCCATGATAACACTGGACGATTTAGAATTGGGAGACATCTACGGAGTCCAGGTAATACAGTTTTTTAGACACAAATATACGTCGTACTTTCAGCTGTGTGCGATATACAATGACGACTTCAAGATGCCAGCTTGGCAGATTGCCCCAATCACAGAGTTCATATGCACCTGTGAAAATGGAAGTACGCAGTTTTACTGTTTGACTATGACACTAACCAGAAATTTCAGGTTGCTCCGTAATACAGTGTACTAAGCCCTGTTTAAAGAAAAAGGTAAATTTCATCGTGCACATGTCGTTTTATGCTGAAAACTAAGCAGGTGCTTACTTGATAGAACTTCATATTTTTATGTCACTATTGATAGTGAAACAGATTGATAAACAGAGAAGCTGTGGAACAGGTGGCGAAATTCACTTACCTCAGGATCATGTTTACTGATGAGAGAAAATGGGAGGAGGAGATCGACCACCGAATTGGAATTGCTGGTAGCATTTTGCCTGAACTTTACTGAACCGCTGCGGTAAAGGAGGAGCTGAGTCTGAAGACTAAGTGCTCTGTGTTGAAATCGATCGTCCTCCCCATGCTCTACTTTGGTCATGAATCGTGGGCCATGGCTGATAAAATCTGATAGCGGGTTCAAGAGTCTGAAATGGGTTTTCTGAGGTGAACTGCTGCGCTCACGCATCTCGAAATTCTCCAGAGTACTAAATACCTGAAAGTGTCTTTGTTTCTACAGCTACGTCTTCTTCAGATTGAGAAGTCACAGGGGCACATTCTTCGAATGCATCCAGAGTAGAAGACCAAACAGCTACCACTATTTGCGCAACCAAATGGCCGAAGGTCTCAGGAACGGTGAAGAATAACCTGTGGCAAATGAGTCCGCACACTCTGCTCCAAACTCTGGTTGTCTGCTGCCGAAACTCACACCTTAGCAACCTTAGCATTAAATAAAGAACGTGGGAGAGACACGTCTCTCTCCGCGACCCAAAAGGATAGGTGATACAAAGTGATACTACCCTTATCACCGATAGGTGATACTCTCTGCTCTTATTTCCTTGATGACGAGTTCATTGTGATTTCCGGGTCGTTTTGAACGTTTTTGGTGATTCATGGGAAGTTTGCTCGACTGGTGATAAGTTTAAAACGAGAGGCTCAAAGTAATTGAAATAACATAGGTTTATTAACAAGTTCAGCATACAATAAGGGCAACCATGTTTTACTGATCTCGATAATGTTCTTCCGAATAAGAAATAAGAAACTTACAAAATCAGTTCAGCGTGACTTCATCAGTTACATAATTTTATTGTCAGCAAATGCATGCTATTTTAACTGGCTTTGCTTCTCGTTATAATCTCCGTTACAGTAATCAGTTCCCGTTCCAGACATCATTAATCTGGGTACTCTGTCCTTGACCCTTGACACCTCAGATGACGATGACAATAACTTGCCGTTACTAACTCATCGCATTAATCTGTTGGTCTATTATTCACCGCCAATATTCCGCAATCGCTCAAACATATGATGAATCGCGTATATCCACATGACGAACAACTTGGTCCTTATCTGAAACATCGAGGTTTCCTCAACGACTTCAGTTTTGAATCCTTTTCATGTGCAGTTGCTGATTTTAAGGAATTCCGTGTTAGATTTGCAAATTTCTCACCTTTCTCAGAATTGGATGCCGGCTCAGTGCCATAGTTCAAAAGGACCCTTGCTGTATCCTCATGTTCTGAGGCTTGAGTCAAATGGCTTCTCCGGCAAGATGATAGTTCAGGCAACAACTAATTCTGCTGTTCATAATCATAGAGGGTACCACTGCTATCCACAACTACACACGTTATCGCTATGTTTCTTCAGATAATTATCTCAGTTCATTTTTATAAGCAATAGGTCTTCCGTTTGCGAAGCCCTTCGTGTTCACCGTTATCCAACACTTCCAACGATAGAGTAATTTGTTCGTGTTTGGTAATCGTACTGCAAAAGCAGCATAAAATACAGTTTACTTATACACAACGCAGAAGATACTGTGATCATTCTGGTGATTGACCAATATCGACATTTCGGCCCATGAGAACTACCTTGAAGAAGGCTTATGAAACACGACATTTATCCAATACTTTTGAGACTTAGCACCAGTTACTGCCTAATGGAAAGCACAATTCCTGTCAGAAGAGCATCTACCTCATAAACTTATACGTCCATCTTTGCTGGCTTCCTGACCAACAGTTGTCATGTTCGTTCATCCACGTTAGAAGCTCGTATTCTGGAATAAATGGTTCATGTTCAGCCAGTGCGTTCAGCAGGTCTAGCCTCCATTTCTTAACTCTCATTATGCATCGAAGCTGACACTTCTGTAGAAATTTAACCGTCCTTCTCGGTCTTTCCCTTGGACAGCCATCTATGCGTCGTAAAACAACACGAAATTGACATAGGCCAGATATAGACGAGATTTTGTGGAAAGGGTTCTCCATTACTCAACCCAAATATATGGCAGGTTACAAAGGCACTGAAGGCTAGGGCGATCCTCCAATTTAACTTTGTGCTGTCGATGCAAATGATGATCCAAAATTCTTAGGTTCGTCAACTATCTGAACCATGTCAAATTTTCCTTCCACTTGTATATCAACTCTGCCGGAACCAATTCAGGTTTCTTCTAACTTTCCATTTCTGCGAGTTAAGGAATTGACCTATTTTCGTAGTTTTGCGTTTAATACAAATGACAAAGCTTCATTATGGATTTCCAACTATTAAATTTTCAAGTCTTTCCTTCAAATTATCATTCTCAGGAAATCCTTTTACCTATGCATTTAATGCAGCCATATTTCTTCTGTTTTTAATAATAAATAGTTACTTTGCCTATTTTTTTGTACCGTTTGCCTGCTTTAAGTTGATAATGCCAGCTGATCATGGAAATTTATTTTAAATAGAATGGCATTCCATTTACAGACGGCGTTTAATCGAAAATGATGCAGGTCGGCGAAAGCCGTTATTTAGGAAAAACAAGCTTTGTTCTAGTCATTCCTGCATTATGATCAATAAGTTGTTATGAGGCATTGTTCCCGAGACGTGGCTACCAAGTTCCGCAAAGTTTTGACACTTCTCCTAAATGTAGGTGCATAAGGTCAATCAATGGAGCGCCTTATCTCCGTGCTATTTTAGCATCTGCAGAGCTATTTGCCGTTAATATCATCTGTATTTCAACGTAATCATTTACCCGGTTTAATCACTTAATCGCTTATGAAGCTTTTTCTGTTTAATTTCTGCTCACCGGTGAATTTCAGCGAAAGACAAAAACAAACTTGTATTTACGTCGACTTCAGAGGTGACGTGCAGAAGTGCTTTTACTGTAGAAGCGTACTGTAGTACAGTGTTTAGGATGTACCTGAGCAGCTGTGCTCCATCACTTCGCAAGACACATCCGACGTGCGCATTTCAGAAAATCTGCTCGAACTTGACAGCTCTGATGTAAGCATAATCTATTTCGAAGAAGGAGGCATCATCGTCAACGTCTCCTGGCAATATCCCGTAACGTTGGATAGCAACGACGTGAAGAACTTCACTCTGAAACTTGTGGGCCCATATAACATAGAACCCACTCACTGTGCCACTTACATGCGTTTCATTAGCGTCATCTCCAACTATCGTTCTCCAATCGCGACGGTGCTACTGCCGCAGCCATTCCTTGATGAGCATTGTAAAATTGGCTTAAAAGTAATTTATCGATTTTGTCATTATGTACAGTTCATGATGTCGTTTCAGATCACTACAAAAATCCAGAATGGCAGGAGCTTCCAAAGCATTGTGTTTATTCAGCTGCCAAAAATGCCCAAACGACCGTTAATCAAGCAAACTACATGTACGGTATAGTTTAACATCGTTGATACTGTAGTACGTTCATTTCTGAATCTCATATGTAAGTGCAGGAGATTATATAAAAGATATTTACTTTGATGTACAGTAAATATTCATTATCAAAAGTTAATAATAGTAATATTGAGGTCTGGAACCTTATTTAATGCTCACTGAGAGTGTAAAATACGTAATACTCTCTGCAGGCCGTAATACCCCTGTTTCAAGCCACCAGCCCAAAATATGTTTCCTCGCATTTGCTGCAATAGCGCTAGTGTAACTTCAAAATGATGCACGAGTTCGACCTACATGTTGCTACTTTTTTCTTACGTTTTTTTTTAATGCAGGTACGTGGAGATGGTATGATTAACATTCATTTGCATTATTACAGATGTTAGAAACGATTCTGCTGATCCGTGTGAAATGGAAGCAGTTACGACGTGGGAAGGTATATTTGCTAGTGTTATTTCACACTCACTGGTTCGCATCTGACATATTTTATGCCAGATAACATCTGCCTGTATCCAGCATGTGACACTGAGCTGCAGTACGACGCTAAAGCAGGTCTTTATATCCTTAACTTAACTGGACTGATAACAAAATGGCGGATCCACTTCGATAAAGTTGGCATACTGGTCAGTTTTGGAAAAATACAACGTTACGAGGTCATGAAACTTTTTTACTTCAGTTCCATTATCTACAACATTTCAGTCGAGAAGGTATACTGTATTTTTACTAATTATGTGTTTAAATATTATTTAAGGCTCAAGACGCGGAGGTTCGGCTCTCCAAATTCGAAAGTACTGGTGATGTAAAATATGGCTTTCGAATTATGCTCTATAGGCATGACAGGTTCCTGACGCACAAGTTGAAGAGGTTAGGCAGGAAAGCTCAATACTGCATCATCAGCCCTTTCGCGATTGACAAAGTTTTGCCTCATGCACATCTCCCAAAAGATGCCACCAAATGTGCTGTTCTCACATGTGTGTCACTTCTTCTACTGTTACTCATGGCCTTGGCTGATTACTTCATCTTCAGACGTTTCAAGCAACAGGCAACTGTAAATCTCAAAACCAAGACAAGAATCAAAAATTGAACGGCGAATGGTCATCAATGGACTTAAAATATTGTATGCTTGCCAGTTAACCAAACATGACGCTGAAACGTTCAGCTGCTTCGGCATCTGTTACTAAGCAGAAGAAAACCGTACTCAGGGCTGCTTCTACTGATTCCCATTCGAACGAACAGAACACCTATTCTCTATTTCATTCTTCTAGTTTTGTTATTTAGGATCACAATGGAATGGAACTTGTTGCAAGCTTCCCACCTTCTATCAAGCAGAAACATCAGAACTCGGTTCCCAGCTTAAAAATTAAAGTGAAGTTAAATGGCTGACTTAACATTAGATCGCTTTATCTAAGCGTATTATGAGCAACATCTTTGGCTGGTAGGGGAAACTGGTCGTCATGAATGATCAAAGCTTTGATTTTATTTTATTGAGCAATTTAATAGCCAAACAGTGGTGTATAATTTGTGCAGCGTCATCTATTGATCGAATGATCGTTAATAATATCATGTAGCTCATATGAAGACAATCGCTGAAGCCATTATAAATAAGTTTCTTACCTTTTAGATCACCAATGAAATACAGCATGCAAAGGATGGCATAGTGTTACCTGGTCTTTAAATTCAGTGTTTCATACTATGCTTTATATCGTAAACGTCGATATCGAAATATATCAAATTATGGGCACTAAATTTCTAATAAATATTGACGTGCAATTCTATCCATCTACTACAACAAAATTTAGTAATAATATCCAAAATGATTGATAAGATATTGAAATGGCGAAAATGCACAATGTAAGCGTTGAAAAATCTATTTCTCAATATCATCCCCTTTCTTCTAAATGCCTGGAGAGTGGAGCACATTTAAACAGGCCGCGACTGCATGGTATTTAATCTCATACAGTGGATAGGACACTGAATGCGTCTTGAATTAGAACTGATCAAAGGTATACTCAACCAAGATTGTCACGATCCGTAGATGACAATATACCTACAAATGCTACATACGTTACGCGCATTGCGCATTTTCATCGTTTCAATCCGGTATCATTATTTTGATGTGATGAATTTTCAGCGGGTATCGAAAGACTCCCGAAAACGTCAGACTTTTTGCTATTCGCTCGCCAAAGAATCTCGGTTGAATATACATATGTTCAACTTTAGATTGAGGCGAGGTCGTGCATCCTACTCCCTGCAGGCGTTTAAATACAATTGAGCTATGGTCTAGACGTTTAGAAAGATCGGCGACGTAGTACGTGCTATTGGTATAAAGTGAAAAGTAGATTACTCGTTCTTAACATTCTGCATTTTTGCAGATAAAACCAGGTGCCATTATTTTTACTGTGATGTTTTCAGCGGCAATATTTTAAAGTCTTCTTCAAAAACATCAGGGTTATGTTTTAATAAAGATTATAGTAGTTGGAATGATTGAAAATTTAATGTAATATGTAGGGATCGTATAAAGGTTTCGAAATTTGAGTACGGAAAACTAGAAAAATTAATTGTACCTGCTGATCAAACTTGTCACAGTAATGGTTCAATCATACTGTAGGAAAGCAAAAATTTTCCAGCTACAGATTGCCTAAAGGCGAGATACGGTAGACATACAGTTTCTGCACAACAGTAATATTTATATCTTCATCTTCATCTTCCATCGCCGCTTCTCCCTTCGGGTCGCGGAGGCAGACGCGTCAGACAGTGCTTCCAACGTTCCCGATCCTGTGCATGAGCCTCAGCTTCAGCAAAAGACAAATGCAGTCTGGAACAGACCTATTCCATATTTTTTCACCAGGTTAATATTGGCCGTCTCCTGGGCCTTTTGCCGGTCGGATTTGTAAGGAACAGTTGCTTAGCCTTCCTTTTTGGAGGCATTCGCAAC